GCTACAAGCTGCTTCATGTCTTCATGTTTGATGTAGCACCAGATGAGTCTGATTTGACTGGATGTTGTGAGGGATCACTGATCTGATGGAGGCTGTTCTGTCTTCACCACGTTTCATGGCTGGCTGAGTTTCTTTCTGGATCCTGAACGTGTCTGAGCGTCACTGTCATGGTGTCCAGTGAGTTAAAGGTCCATGTGAAGGTAACTGAGCTGTCTCTGTGTGTCCTTCAGGCTCCGTCCATCGTCAGCGTGTTCTCCTGGACTTCGTGTCTCTGATTCTCTACACCTGAGGAGACTCCGGTCAGAGATCAGCACCTGCAGGCAGCACATCCAAATGAGCCGGCCGTCGCAGGCGAAACTAACCGCAGCTGACCACAACAGCGTGAGCGTCATCCAGAGCCAGGCCCACGCCTCCTCGTCCTCCCTGCCGGCCGCCGTCGCCGGACTGCAGCAGGTCCCGCAGCTCGTCCCCGCCAGCCCTTCGACCGGAGGCGGTAAAGCCCTCCCCCCCAGCAAGATGAAGAAGCCGCCCGCAGACAAGGACAGCGAGGAGTACCGCCAGCGCCGCGAGCGCAACAACCTGGCGGTGAAGAAGAGCCGCATGCGCAGCAAGCAGAAGGCCATGGACACGCAGCAGCGCGTCAACGAGCTGAAGGAGGAGAACGAGCGGCTGGAGGCCAAGATCAAGCTGCTCAGCAAGGAACTGAGCGTGCTCAAAGACCTCTTCCTGGAGCACGCCCACAACCTGGCCGACAACGTGCAGCCGCCCGCCGGCGCCGAGGGCTCCAGCCCCGCCCCCAACAGCTCCTCCACCAATGGGCAGTGAGGGGCGGAGCCTCGGAACGCCTCCACTGCTTCTCTTTGGTTTATTGATCATTAATCAATCCATCTGTTTCCCCCTTTAACCCGCCCTCCTCCACAATCTGCCAGAACTTCCCACAGCCCACCTGGAGAACGTTCCCCTCCAGCCGTGGAAACTAAACGTCTACAACCCGTTTCTGACTTTTCAGATTTATTCAGTACAAATTTTAACCAAAAGACTTTTAAAGCGAGCAGCAGCCGGTTTGTGTTGATTGGTGGAAACAGCCGCGAGGTATTGATCCTCTGATCGGTCGATCAGGACGACGTGAACTCTGACAAACTGAGTCTTGGACAGGATTCGGATTAAAGCCGACCGGCTGCTGCAGGACGAACATGTAAATGCTTCAAATTCCCTTTTCTAAGATGTGTATTTTCTTCTGTTCAACAGAGTTTTTAAGTACTTTCACTACGTGTTGATGTTTAAAGGATGATTCTGTCTTTGTTCAGCTTCACACGCTGAGATCAGAGTAAAGACAGAATCGTCCTTTATCAGGTGTTTTATTAACGACGTGTTTGAGTTGCACACTTTTAATATTTGTGTCTGAACAGTCGAGTTTTTCCTGCCGACGTGTTAAACTTCCCCGTTGTCACATCAGAGGCTGAAAGCTTCCAACTGAGTCCTGAAATCAGCACAAATAACTGAAGAACGTCAGTTGATCAGCATTGAACCAGTCTGCAGCCTGCACGAGAGGCGTTCAGGGACCATCAGGAAACCGGAGCGTCTTCAATAGTTTATGTAGAGATCAGAAAAAGACTGGCGACGAAATTAATCTGTTTGCCGAAGAAAATATTTCAGATAGTAGCTGAAGTTGCTGTCGGTCTTCACATCAGAGCAGAACTTCAGAACGCAAACAGAACGTTGGCGGTTCCAGTGAGACGCTGAGTGATCGAAATCATGGAACTCTGATTATTGGTACAGGAACGTGTCGATCGCTTTGATGCTGCTGAAGCTGGTCTCAGTGAAACAGTACAAAACCATTCACCTGCAGCCTCTGATGTGACAGCAGCTCCAGGTTTAACCCTGTGAAGGTGGAACCCCCGGCCTCACCTGTCCAGGCCTCACCTGTCGGCGTCCAGACAGGTGTGTCTGTGTGTTTAGTGGGCGGGTCCAGACGCTGCAGACTGTGCAGGCAAGCCGCAGCTTTAATTAAATCCACTTTAACCCAGTTGGCTCGTTAGCCGTCTGCTAACGAGCTCAGAGCAGATCGGGACAGGTACCCACGGAGGCCACGCCCACCACAGGCCACGCCCACCACAGGCCACGCCCACCTCCACTCAGACTCTATAATTACAGGAGCTTTGTGTGGGTGTGGAGCGTTTCTCCACAGGGTTCGTCTGTCAGGACTGAGCTGCTGCAGCACAACGTTCCCACAATGTTCCCTCACCGTTCCCACAACGTTCTCCTGATGTTCCTTCAGCTCTCCTCTCAGGATTTTTTTTTTTTTTTTTTTTACCAAGAAAGAACCCCAAAGCTGCTGTTAATCAGCCAGAAAGCAGATGTTTGCTGATGAGCAGAGCTCTGATCTTTGACTTCATCCTTCACATGAATCAATTCAGTCGATCAGCCAGAGGACCGTTTTCTGGATCAATCGATCAGCTGTTTGTTTCTGAAGTGCCAGAAAATAATAAGGATCAGTTTCCTCAGATGTCCTGGTTGTCCAAAGATCTTCAGTTTGGGGTCACAGAGGAACCGAACCAGAAAACGTTCACACACACATTTGTAAGAATTAAAAGCTACTGAGTGATCGGACGAGTTGGAAATGAACGAACAGCTGGCGCCTGGTGGGTTAATCATCAAACTGACATTTCAGAGCTGCTGTTGGAGACGTTGTGGGAACGTTTCCTCTGTTTCACTTTTCTATCGTTGGTTTTGTACTTTCCTCGCAGCAGCAGCAGCATGTTAACATGTTTGTAGGGAGGTTTGCATGAGGGTCTGAACTTTACTGCACTCAGAGAAAATCCAACCTTCTGGTCTTAACTGAATCTGGATGTGATTGTCGTGATGTTTGCTTTGGTCTGAATGTTGCTGGGCAGCATTTCTGTGTCACTCAGCTTTTTTATATCAGAACCGGGGCTCATGTGCATTCTAAATTAAACTTGAGTATAAAAGTTCTTCTGTGTCCTGATGCTTCACTGCAGATGTTCCACGCCTCATGTATCACAGCAGATCTTCTCTACCTTCTGGTGGAGTCCATGTGACGGTGGAAGCTGCTGCACATCGTTCCACCAACGTTTGAAATCAAACCGTTTTTAGAAGAAACCTTATCAGCTGGTTTAACTTCAGTCTGGAGAACGTTGATGGTTGTGGTTCAGTTTAAAGGTCCAACCAGACGGCCGACTGACCAGCATGGTGTTCCACTGCAGGAGCTTTGAGGTGGTGTCGGTGCAGCCAGAACCTTTGCTCCACTGCAGGAAGCGTCCAGCAGAACCTCCCTCAGGGAGAACTTCCTCCTGCAGGGTTCCTCTGAATGTTCCCAAGAGCTCTGCTGTGATTGGTTCATCCAAAGAGGGCAAAAAGCGCCAGTTTTCTCCTCAACGTCCCGACAGCTACAACATGACAGACCTCCATCGTTCTCCAGTGGGTGCTGTGTAGAGCTGAAGTCGTACGGAGCAACTAGCTGTGACTTGGTGCAGTTGGAGTTTAGCGTTGGAACCATGAGACCCGCTAGAACCGTTAGAACCGGCACACAATGGAACCAGAAGGATGAAAGGCGTCCAGAACGACAGTCTTCTCTAAATGGAATCAGAAATTAATTAAAATGACTCAAAACCAAAACGATTAATAAAATATCCAAAAGGACTCGGACGCTGTCGCCAGTCCAGAACCGACTGTTGGTGGTTCTGATTCACACGGAGGCGGTCGCAGTCGACGCTGTTGGATTATTTACTGCAATAAACAAACTAGAACAGTTTAAAAAAATTAGAACTTCTTCAAAATGATTGAAAAATGGACTGAAAGACAGAGAAAGTTATCATGACTACAAACTAGCACAGCGTTGTTCAGAAGGACTTACAAACGGTCAGAACGCCGTCACTTTCATTGTTCTGGTTGGAAACTGAAAGTCCTGATGAATGATTTAAAAATTAATCAGTTTTATTCAAAAATGATCCAAAACGTCACCGACGCTCAGTCAGAGCAGCCGTGGACGCTGTTGGATCAGAAAGTCTGAATCCTGTCAAACATGACTCAGAAAAAACTGTCTGAAAGCACAAAGAGAAAAAAGAATCGACGTTCTGCTGCACTTTGAATGAACATCAGAGCTGAAGCTGTTGGATTCTTCAGTGCAACAGAAGCAGAAGCAGAAAGGCTGAAACTCGACTCAGAAACTTATCTGGTAAAATGAAGGTTTTGTTAAACTGTCGCGACTCCAGCATCTCCTGCTGCCGGGGTTCTGATCCACATCGCAGTCGAAGCTGCAGAAAGGCTGAAACCTGTAAAACTAACTAGAAACTGTCTGCACAAGACTTCCTTTGGTCACTGCTGCTGGATGACTGGACACCAGTCAGTGGAGGCTGGAGCTGACCTCTGACCTCTGACAAGCTGGAATATGACACATGTAACATACATGATGTGAAGCACACGGCTGCTTTATTGAACTCTGTGACAGCAACACTGAAGCTGGATCTGGAACTAGACTGGACTTGTCCAACGTGACTAAGTGGTCTCTGTTCCAGTAACTACTGTCTCACGTTGTGCTGGAAGCGGTTGAATCGTGCAGCGAACGGGCCGATGAGGTGGCCGAGCCGGCAGACGTCACCTGTACCTGAACAGAAACGTCGTGCTGCACCTGTGAGGGCGTCTTTACTCTCAGTAACCTCACATAAACCTGCAGATTAATACACAGAGGAAGCAGATTTAAAGGTAATTCCAGTAAAAATGAGCCAGATTGATCCTGTAATAAACTGTTTGTTCCTCTGTCTTTATCTGGAGCAGCAGTAAACAGGGAGCAGGTGAGCCGGTGCTGCTTCACTGATTACTGCAGGATGAGCAGAACCAGGATCAGGTTTCTGCTCAGTGTGGGCCAAAGCTCTGTCCTCCCCCAGTCTATCAGCCCGCGGAGGGGAGGCAGCTGGTACCACGACCCGCCTCCCTCCACGGACAGAACTCCTCAGGTTCTGGAGCGCAGACCTGCCGCAGTCTGGCACCTCAGCAACGGGCTTCAACGGTCACCATAAGAAAAGTCCTGCACGGAGTCAAGAGTTAAATCTGATACTAACTCTGATGTTTTCAGTCTGGTGACCTTGAAGCAGGATGATGTTTACAGGAGTGTTTCCCAGTTCAAAACAATGTCATGTTCAGTTTAGCTGCAGGTGGCTCAGTGGTTAGCACCGTTAGCGCCTCACAGCTAGAAGGTCGCCGGTCGGCGTCCCGGTGAGGACACCCGGGATCTTCCTGCGTGGAGTCTCCATGTTCTCCCCGTGCAGCGTGGGTTCTCTCCGGGTTCTCCGGCTTCCTCCCACAGTCCAGAAACATGCTGAGGTTAATTGGTGATTGTAAATTGTCCGTAGGTGTGAATGTGAGTGTGCTTGGTTGTCTGTCTCTAAGTGTAGCCCTGTGATAGACTGGTTACCTGTCCAGGTGAACCTGCCTTCACCCTGAGTCAGCTGGGATAGGCTCCGCCCCCCATAGTGAGGATGAAGGTGTAGAGATGATGGATGGATGTTCAGTTTATATGCTGCAGAAATCAATGCAACATTGTGATTGGCTGAATGGTTCCACTCCTGCTGTTACAAAGCAGATGATTGGCTGTACGAGGAAAGGGGCGGGGCATATGTCACTCACAGCGACCATCTACTCAGGATGCTAAAATGGCGCCTCTTGTTCCATCGACTGCAGCAGGTAGCCTCTTTACCTGTTAGCATCAGCTCACGTCATAATGTCGCCATTCTTATGCTAACATGTGGTCGCAGTGAAAATACAACAGCCGAATCAATGCTGTTAGCATGCTAACCGCTAGCTGCCAGTTAGCCATCATGCTAATCAGTGTTCAGAATACAAACTTGTGTGGTTTATAAAGTTATGTGCAGTCTGTTCTAAGAAACCTTACAGCTTTATGTGTTAACTCAGTGAGTAATGTGTGTTTTTGGCTTCATTTTCACTGACTTACAGTTTGTTCTACTCATTCAGGCAGCTCACAGCGGCTGCTTTTATTGTAACTAGAACATCACATGGTTGTTGGCCAGCTGTCGGACTGGTCTGTTCCCAAGATAATTACAAGACCCTCGTGGAAATCTAATCAATGAGACATTTATTCCCTTTGGAGTCAGAGAACAAGTCCACATGTTTTCAGGGTCAAACCGTAAAATTCTGATATTTCAAGTAGAAAACCTGGAACCTGGGCCGCCGCTACAGCTCACCTGGTTGAGCTGGTGACCCAGGTACAGGGCTGTGGTCTCCAATGGTCTCCAATGCAGCAGTCATGGGTTTGAACCTTTGAGGCTTTGCTGCAGGTCCTTCCCCTGCTGTCCTGTCTGTCTTTTGACTGTCCTGTCTAATGAATCCAAAAAGGCCAAAAAAAACAACTTAAACAAACAAAAGTGGAATCTGGTGAATGAGACGCTTTCTTTCTTCCAAAATGTAGCTTTCAGTCACTGGAGGTAGGGGAGATTATTTCCAGCCTGAGGACACAAACCTGCTTAAATGCAGGATCTGGTTTGTTTCCTTTGCTGTCCACAGCAGGTGGAGACTCCAGAAGATGTGTTTAGGACCACATGTTGCTCTTTATTAATCCTCAGACTGGCTCCAGCTTCAGGCCGTGATAACAGTCCTCCACACTGACGTCAGCTTCGTACCAGATGCTTTAACCCTCCGTGTACCTGCGGATGTCTCAGGTGAACCTGGTTTGCTGCAGGTGAGCCTCTCTGATTGGCTGCGTGAGGGAACAGGTGTGCAGGTGAGAACGAGGCCCTGCTGTGAGCTCAGGGAGCAGCTCTGCGCTTCACGTTCAGGTTTTATTCATGACCCTTTTTAAACTGTTCAGCAGAAATGCTTCAGCCGTCTGAAGGTGTTGAATGAAGGTTTTTATCGTCCGTCAGTCAGACGTGACTCAGCTGCAGTCATGTGTTATATCAGCGTGGAGATAAGACTGTGATTGATAAGCGCTTATCAGCCGGTGAATGATTGACACGCTGACATCATGATGGCCTGAGCGCAGGGAACGAACCAGGACAGTTTTTTGTGTCCGTGCCATCCAAAGGTCGCCGCAAACATGTCAGCAGCTTGTAAAGGTTTACTGGCGAGCAGTCAAGCGTCTCCGGCTGACACAGAACCAGTCCTCCCACCTCCTCCTCCCATTGTTCCCATAATTACCAGCACCGTCAGCGGCTAAAAATAAACCAGTGGGTGTGTGGAGGACGACCCATCCGTCTGCTGGAAACTGGAACATCAGCTTTTATGCTGAAGACTTCTGATCTGTGAAGCAGCAGCCGGAGCTGTCAGACGTGTTCCTTTCAACATGCGTGTCCTTCAGCATGCTCTGAGGGAAGCTACATGATGTTTGAAATGTTCAGTCACTACAAGAGCCCAACCCTCAGCGACCCACCGTGTCTGTGGTGCTTCTCAGCTCCTCTCTGGTCATTTTGCGTCTGTTTGTAGTCTTATGTCTTTCTGAGGCAGTCTGGTGTCTCTTTGTCGTGCTTTGGGGTCTTTTTGTGGTAGTTTTGTGTTTCTGTGGTGGCTGTGTGTCTCTTTGTGGTCATGTTTTGTCTTTGTCGGGGTTTTGTGTATGTTTAGAGCGGTGTCGGATCTCTGTTGTGGTTTTGTGCTACTTTTGTATTTCCTTGTTTGGCCTCTTTGTGGTGGTTTTGCTTCTTGCTTGTTGGCATCTGTCAGACGAAGCCGGTCGTACTGAAGCGGCGTTCGACCCTCCGTGTTCTGAGATGTTCAGGTTAAGCATCAGGTTGTCTGGAGGTCACATGTTCGCTGTAATTCATTCATCCAAAACACTTGAGAACATTCACCCTGGAAACACCTGAAACAGAAGACAAAAACCAAAACGAGGAGCTAAAGGAGGCTGAAGCGCTGCACAGACCTCCACACACCACCTACCAACCTGCACTCTGATTGGCTCCCTGGTGCACCTGGGGAGGGAGGTCAACCTGAGGGCGTGCGA